GAGGATCGAGTAGGTGGCGTAATATAAACTGATACACAGTACTTTTCAAGTGCACATTAACTTCCAATTCTTTTCTATGTACCGTTAAACTTGAAGAGGAGTTTCATAAAAGTGAATGACGATGCTAAAAGCAAAATGAGTGCTCGAGATATATTCAAACACCGAATGAAAGTAATTAAAAGGTGTTTAGATCCTTTCGTTGCGTATTCCATCCGGCAGCGGAGCGACCCTTTGTGTGAGAGATGTGTACATACCTCCTTCTTTCAGAAACTTTGGTGGAAATTTGCTCCGATTTAAACCAAAAGTTCCGGAAATTTACTAGAATTTTGTGGGAAATGGACTGAGTTTACTCCGATATTGGGAAACGTTTGGTAGGATTTGCACAGATAGCTGCCATTTTCTCCAATTTCCGGTCATCTTTGTTTCAACGATGCGACAAAATCGGGAAAAGCTAGAACAAGGTGGATCACCCCCTTCCAAGAGATGAGCAAGTCCAAATCCCTACTTGAACCATTAGTTGACGGACTTGGACTTGTTGTGTTTTTTATCAAGTCTGGTTGTAGTCCAGTTAGAATCTACCATTTTCAAGAATGAAATCAGTGTGATATTTTCTCTATCGACCTAGGCAAGGACCAAGTTTTTATGATGAATTGAGAAAGGACAGGAATTTTTTTAATTATAAAATAGAAAAATTCATAACTTTTGACTGAAGCAATTGGGACCCAGTTAAAAGATCCTTGCCCGTAGTTTCTCGAAAATGAAGCGTTTTGGAGCAAAAGGCTCCAAAAGGCTTCGTTTTCGAAAAACAACGGGCAAGGTTTTTTTCAAAATACTTTTAGCCTTAAAACTCCACCAGGAAGGTAAAAATTGAATTTCTCGGTCAAATTTCATCCTGGAAAGATGAATACTTTTTTGTGTAAACAACTTGATGTCCTCTGTCTGCTGATACAAAAAACAAATCTTCATTTTAAAATTTAAAGATTTTGTTTAAATTTCAAAATTTGAGTAAAAAACCCAAAAAAGAACTTCAAAAGTTTTTCTCAAAAGCGACTAGTCCGGAAATCGAAAAAACTGCGGAATACATACTTCAGACTGCACTCTAAAGAATATAGTGTGCCCGCTGGTGTGCATTTCGAGTCCACAGTAATGTTCAAAATGTCACTGTGTAATCTGAATTTTTATCTTCCGTTTCTCTATGGAAAAAAACGAAAGAATTCTCTTCCCTTCGGTCTTTTTTCTCGTTCTGTTCATGGAAGTTATATGTGCAATTCCAGTATGTTATAGACACACTGAATAAGCCGTTTTTAGTATGCAAAAAAACAGTTCAACATAATGTGCACATTCAATGTACGCCGGGTACACTTTATTTTTTACAGTGTCTCCTCTACAAACTGATGGAAAAAACTGGCAAGGAGGACCCCCTTACGAATTTTAATGGTTTATGGTCCAATACGGCAAAATTTTTATTGCATTTTAACACACTATTTTTCTTAAACTCGGCTTTCTACGAAAAGTATTTCACATTAAGCCTTCTTATTTGGGGTAAATGACAGAGAGATCGGGCTCTTTTTTTTTGCAGCAAAACACCTATGCCTAGCAGTTGACCGAGTCCGATTTATGAATTTCTCATTGACTGATTTCTGGTGCTTAATAGAACTTCGAAGTTCGAAAAATCGTTGGAAGGTTTTTTAGAAATTTTCGTTTCTACAAAAAATGGAAGCATAATTCGAAAATCGGACTCTGTCAACTCTCAGCTATAGGTGTTATCTACGAATCAAAAAAAAACTTTTCTTTCTCCGATATATCGTTACGGACAATTCCTGTGCGTGGCGAAAGCCCTGAAGCTAAAAAACAGTCTTAAGCAAACGCAAAATAAATTTTGATTCTGTTAAATGCGTTTTACTTAAAAACTGTTTGAACGTTAAATAATTCGTTGATATTTTACCACACGTTATCGGCCATGGCGGATCTAATGAACATGTGCGCAGCCATGTGCGGCACATGTATGCGCTTATGCAGTACAAGTGCAAAAAAGCTATTTTTTTCCTATGGGACTTCTGAAAAACTCGCTCAAAACCTATGAAATACCTATTCTATCGACACAAAAATTATGCCATCAGAAAGTAGATACATCGGGCTATCCAATCATGTGCTTTTCTCAAAGTCAATATTTTTGATGAAAATCGGCATTTCTGAACCTTAATCCTTTTTAGTTGCATAAACTGCAGTCAAAGATCCCATCTGCAGTTTCTCTAGTAAGAAATTTCTTTTCTATTTCTACAACGTACCATTATCCTATCGTACATCGTGAGCTTCTGTAAATTAGAGCTGAGAGTACCGTGCCATAGCATTGTCCTACATGATTCTGCCGAGACTTGCTTTTCTTGAAATATTCGGTAAAACTTCGATATGGATATGAATACAAATGAGGAACAAGTTTTACTTTATGAGTTATGCGGACAAGAACAGGAATGAATGACTTCTACGCTTACGCGTTTATCTCTTGTATGTTCTATACCTAACGATTTCTACAATTTTTTCTCACGATTTTTCTACCACAAGTTTTATTTCACGCTTTTCACTTCTACGAGTATTCTCCACGATTTTCACATTCCCGTATTTTATCTTATGATTTTTTCTTTACAACTTGGAATGCAAGCCTTCTCTTGTCGATCTTCTACTACGGACTTTTCTGAACGATTTTTATGCTACGACTTTCCAAGTAAAAAAGTTGTGACCAATTATTTTGTATATATGCGTAAAAGCCAGAGGTACTAATTTATGACGTGTAGTGAAACGCAAAATATAAGTAATGATAGTTTGATTTGAACCACTTATGCGTAAAATCTGTCAAATATGCGTATCACGTTTTATGTGCAAATACAATTAAAATATTGTGCGTGTATGAGATCCAAAAGAAATGACGCATATTTTCATCGAATTACGTTTAAAAGTCACTTAGGTGTATAAGTATAATGTAAATTTTTAAGTCTTTCTTCACTAAGACTTAGATCAGGACAGCTTAAGAAACCGACCTAACAACAAGACTGTGGAGGAGGGGTCAGGTTTGGTGTATAACCGAGCGGAGGCTGTCCCGATCTGGATGGTTAGTTTTCGAGATAAATGCGAATTAAGGAAATTAAAAATTATTATGCGGACATATTTTCAGTCATTTTACGTATATTTACGCATACCTGACTAGAGATGTGTAGGGCAGCTGTTTTTTGTGCTCTAAGTCCAGCCCTATGTGTGTTATGTCCTAGTCCCGATCGGAAGGGTAGGGCATGGTCAGTTTGCACGTTTCTATACCTGATCTTTAATCACTTGCATTTACGGATAATTATTGAGTATTTGTCCACAACTTTTTACTTGATTTTTCACAAGTTACAACAGACACTATGCCGAAACCGAAATCAATTAAATTCCTTTAAAAAGGTCATTCATTTTACCTGAACATTGCAATCAATAAATTAACTAATAATGTGGCAGCAACCGCCATATAGCAAACCAAGAGAAAGTACGTCAGATAACCTGCTGGTCCATAACTGTCTAAAGAACTTGATATCAGATGCAAAAGGAAGAAACAGTGAGAGCATTCTACAATTTTTACCTTCAACCATATCTAAAACGGTTACTTCACCAAATATTTCCCAATAAGCAATGTTAAATATTTTTCGTGGTAAGTGCCATGAAAATGGTTCGACGCCGTGAATGAGAGCATAAGCCGATACACCAAATGAAAACATGAATACGGTTAACATGAAAACAAAAAATTTTAAATCATGAATCTAAAAAATTAGTACAATATATTTTATTAATATTCGGCACGTATAAATAAGACTAACCATTTCCGCAATCATAACTAATTTTGGACCTAATTTTTGCACAGCGAAAAAGATATCCAATGTTCTCATATACCAAATACTTAAATCGAGTGCAAAAATAATTCTGAAATAGATGGAAGAGTAGACAGATCATTGAGAGAAAAAACATCTCACTGAGTTACACACCTAGCCACACAAAAACATTTTTCAACAGGTAATAGACGTAATGTAAATGCAATAAAAAATAATGTAATTGCCAAAGTATCAACTACATTCCAAATACTCGAAAAATATCCACGAATTTTACCACTATACGTTCGAGCATCGCTTGCAAAAAACTAACAACAAAAAGATAGAAATAAAAAATAAATTATTGTGCATCACTTTATGTTCGATCTCTAATGTTCTATGCCTAATATTCCCAATGATTAGAGGTGCAATCTGGTCAGTGGCGGTGCGAAGAAGTTAGAGCTGGGAGGATGTAGTTCCAAATACTGCAGTAAGCTCAGAAACGTTTTCTAGCAAGTTTGGTAAAATAAAAGAAATAATACAAAATTCACCATTTTTTCATTTCCAACTTACTGTTGTATAATCTGTTACCTCCACACTTTGTAGACACATGAAGGAAACAGCATTTTTTTATCATTCCTACATATAGTGTGAGAACTGTTCAAAAACCAAAAAAATACAACACAAAATACTAAATTCGTGTAGTTTAAATGTGTATTCCGTTATAGTCTTGAACATAGCATATTTTTATCAAGAAGAGGAGGTGGATCAAAGGGCTCTCCACGTGTATAGTATTAAATGTTAAAGGTACTCTTGACAGGCTATTCTTAGACTTATCAGTCTGAGAATAAGAATTTTTCTTTCTTTG